ACTGCAGATTTGGTTGAGCAGCAGTACTCTTGTCTCAGATGAACAAAAATATTTCAGATCTGCCCACACAACTGATCTGGAACTTTTATGTCATGATTTAAAAAAAGAGAGGGGGGGGGGCCGCCTGGGTGGCTCAGTCGGTTAAGCGTCTGCCTTTGGCTCAGGTCATGATCCCAGGGTCCTGGGATTGAGTCCTGACTCAGGCTTCCTGCTCAGGGGGGGAACCTGCTTCTCCCTCTCCCTCTGCAGCTCCCCCTGCTGTGCTCTCCGTCAAATAATTAAATAAAATCTTAAAAAATAAATAAATACAGTTTTAAAAAAAGAAGACGACAGTGAAATCAGCCTCTTCTTCCCCCTCCGATCACCTTTTAACTCTATTTGCTAAGGTGGACTCCAGGAGAAAAAGAAAAGGGGTTGGAACTTGCGGGGGTGGGCACCTCAGATCTGTCCCCAGACTCTCTAGAGGAGGGGAGGCTGTTCTGTGTCTCCTCCCTCCCCCTCCCCTTCTTTCCTCCAGCAACACCTCCCCTGGCCACACTGCCGCCACCAGAAACTAAAAAGCCATGTGTCACGGACCCACTGCTGACCACACTGAAAATGCAGCACACCCAAGCACACTCCCCAACACCAAGCACTGGCTCACTGCCCGTGGTGTTCGATGCAAACCCGTACTATTCATAGTGTTCCAAACTTTTGTAGAATATATGCATTTAGATCTTTTCAGGTTGGGGGTGATGGGTAGTTTGGCAAAGCAAACACCATAACTGGTTTCTTATATAACCCTACAGTTGGCAGCGAGGCAGCGTGCATTGAAATGAAGCAACGCTCATTCATCCAAGAAGGCTTTGCTTTTCCTTTTTTGGAGGGATAAATGCTCTGGTTTGTTTTTTCTCCGTGGCATATATTCATTTTATTATTGGCTGGCTTTAATGATTCTTTGAAGTTAATCTTTACGTGTGAATGGCAGGGTTCTGTTTAAGTTTTGGAAGCTTCCGGAGGAGGTGTCTCAGTATGCCTCTAGACTAGAGAATGCTTTTATAAGTAACTGGAGTGCTTTTAGGTGACACTGAAATTGGGGAGACTGGGAAGGACCTGGGACCCAGGCTGCCATAGGGATCAACGCTGGTCAAGTGCTTAGAATTTCGGAGTTGCAGCCTTTGGAAAGAACTAGCATCCTGCCATCCCAGTAGCTTCTCCACACCAGACATCGCACCTGGAAAAGTGGCCAGCTGAACTAACTTTTCAGCGTAGCATATGTTCTTTCCATTTCTTCTTCCTTTTCTATTAAAACAACAACAACAACAACAAACTTTGTCTACGTGTCTCAAAGCAAGACAACTGCCCGCAATGTTTCCTTTCTCAACTTCAGAGCTGAGATTCTCTAAAATGTTTTTGTATCTTTTTCGGAATCCAGTAGCCGTTAGAAAATGATCAAAGGGTTGCATATTCCTAGTTCCGAAATTACTACTAATAAAGTTTTCCAATGAAAAATCCCAGGATTGCTTGAGGATCTCTTCCCACGTTCCCACTGTGGAATACAAGCGGGAATTGGGACATTCATCCAGTAAAGTTCAATTGGGGGGGGAAAAGCCATATTTCAAAATGAATTCCACTTTTTTCTTTAAAAACAGAGTTCACTGACCAAGAAAGATTTCAAAATGTTTTCTCTAATACCCCAACACGAAACTTTGAGGTTTTCAGGGAATTACAGGGATCAAACAACGAGTCAAGACTTGGGTTTCCAGGTTTCCCAAAGGCTCGAAACTCCCCTAGAGGCTAATTGCTGTTTACTGCAGAGACCTTCCTCATTTTTCTTCGGTAACATTTTCCAGCTCAAGAAGGGTCGTCCCATTCAGCCTAGGAGCATGGTGTCTGAGTGGCTGAATGGAATTGCTACCAATGGAAAGTATGCTGCAAGAGGCGTTGATAAAGCAGCTGCAAGGCAAACCTTGGCTGTTTTTTCCATCCTCCCCAAGCAAAGTTAATTAGCATAGGGAAAATGACTAAGGTGTTGACGTCACCTCTTTCCAGTAGAAACTTACACTCTGTCTCCGTCGGTCTAAAAGCATGCAGGACTTGACTCAGGAATTTGCTGTCCAAACAGGATGCTCTGGAAGCTGTGCTTTTTTTTTTCCCAGGGGGCTGGACTTCAGTGCTTTATAAAGGGCTGGCCGGAGACAGGACCTACAGCCTCTTGCAAAGGAATCTCGCTTGGGTTCTGACTGCCTGAGCTGCTAGTCCTCTCACTGTGAGAAAGCAAGATGCACTTTAGAAACTTTAACTACAGTTTTAGCTCCCTGATTGCCTGTGTGGCAAACAGTGATCTCTTCAGCGAAAGTGAAACCAGGGTAAGGCTTCTAATGTAATGTGATTTTTGAGAGTTTTCAGAGCATTATGTTAATTGGGACTATGAACTGAAATATTTGCAGGGTGTTATGTGGCTGTCTTGTGGGCTTGGGGGTTTTGGAATAAATCCAAAATACTTGGAGCTTTATCAGTCAAAAGCCATTGCCTGAGGACTTAACCGTGAAGGAATTTTTGAAGCTTTCAATATTTGAAAACATCCAGGTCCCTTGATCAACTGGAAACGCAACTGGTTTTAACAGGGTATTTTTCGTTCTGTGTAGGTTGTAGTAAACTTTTAGAGGGAAGCTTTTTCTGACAGTGAATGGAGCTTTTCACTTGGACATCTAGAGACCAGAATAATTTTATCTTAGGAAATAAATATCGTAAAGATGTGTGTATGTTTGTAGTAATTACAAGGGCCCGTCCTCAAGTTTTCAGATTTCTTTAGCTAGGGAAAATGAGGCCATAGCAAGTAATAAAACTGGATAAATAACTTAAGTGGGGGATAAGTGTACCTCCTGGGAAGCAGCTCTCATTGATGGTAATTAGTATAATTAGTAATTTTAATTACTGTGCTTTTCTTCATTTGATTAAGATGTAAGATTTCCATCACTGGCTACCCAGCTGTCTAATTGATCTTGAACAGTACTGTATATGAATGAATTCTGTGTGTTCTGTTTTGGGGATGGTATTCGTGTGATATGCTTTATACTCAATGCCATATTGGAGCCTGTGAAAAAACTGTTGTTTTGTTTTTTTTAAATCAAATGTAACTCCATAATTGCGTATTATACTTGTGAGCCAGGACTAGTCTTTTTTTGAACTAGGTATCAGCACATTTTACGTATGAAAGTACTACAAAATCTATGTATTTCGTATTAGTCTTATATGAATCAAAATCAGTATTTAATTAATTAGAGATGCCATCCAACAACTGTAATAACCAGATAACAATGATTAGAACCAATAAGATTATTTATTTTATTGGAGAATGGTATCACAGTCATATGGATTTAACAGATATTGTGCCTTCTCTTGTGTTCTGGTCCTGAGCCCTGACTTGTATTCTAAAAATATTCCTCAAAGTCCTCTCCCCCTAAATTCTGAATCATAACGTCAAAACTAAGCAGTTGGTCACAATGCCTATTGATGAGGTCATGCAAAATTCCAAATTTATGCCCATACGCTGTGCCAGAAACTTGCCCGTCCTCATGCTCCAGAGAGGTGGAGGAAAAAAACCACACGCAGCCAGATAAAATCCTCCGCGAAGCATCTGCTGTGCGTTGTTCTCATTCTTTGCCTCTGCAAAACCCCTCAGAACTGTTCATAAACTAAAGAAAAGCCACGGAATTCAAAGAGAGGAAGTGTTCCCACTCCCCCCTACCCCCCTAACAACCTGCCCAGTGGTGGCAGGCTGACCGCTGGCCCCACGAGCTGGAACACAGGTCCTGTCCTGCCTGTGGAGCGCCTTGGCCCCGGACATCCCATTCCCTCTCCTCTGTCTAGCGCCGAAGAGTCTTGAAAACGCTCTCCCCTCCTATACACCATCCTCTCGCCGCCCCTCTGCAGAAACCGTGCTTTCCATAGGTTTCCGAGGTGCTCGGTGGGCCCCGCCCACCTCCCCTTCTGCATGGATCCCCTTTATAGAAGGCACGCCGCCCCCACCGGACCTTCAGCCAGCCCTTTTCTGCCTTACACAGAATTCCCCAACCTGTCCTCAGTGTTCAGTCTGGAAAAAAAGACTCGGAAAGCACGACTACTCAAAGTCCATACAATCTTTCTGGAAGTTTCGGCTGTCAGCTCCCTCTCTGGTTGGAACCCTGAGGCCTTGCAGTAGCTTCCCAGTTCCCCCCACACCCTCTCGCTGACGCCCCTCCCCCTCCTGGACCCAGCCCAGCAGGGGGCGCTCTCCAAAGAGCTTTTCCCAAAAGGCTCCCTCCTGATTGGAAGCCTAATAACACCCTTGAACTTAAGCATTTCCATTCTAAGAGCTCATGCTGTTTCATAATTTTCACTAGCATTTATAACACTAGAGCTAGAAATGTACATATATTAAAGCCAGCATGCAGAAATGGGTCCATTTGCACTACATTAATTTTTAAACCAGTATTCTTTTCAAAGAGTTAAAAAGTAACAGACCAAGCGGGAAAACAATAGGGGGATTTCTTCTTAAACCTCTTCCTTTACACTAAGAAATGCAAGGTTTCTTTTAACTTCATTGTTTCCCAGTGCAATAAAAAAAATTTTTTTTCCAAATGAGCTCCAGTGGTGTTAAGCCCTAAAGAAATATCTGCTGCACACAGCAACACCCAAAACTGAGCAGTAGGATCAGAGTTCACGGGGCTGGGGAAGGTTGTTGGACGTTAGGAACTGTCCTTTCCACTTTAAAAAGACTGTTTCTGTGACTATAAGAGGTGGTTAAGTATTGGTACTTGTTCTGCTCATTCAGTGAATTTAATAAAATCACCTGTCTTAGACTTAAAAGGGCAGAAAGAGCAAATCTTCAGAGGGTGGCTGTCTGTCCCCTCTAAGAAAGGAGTTGGGTGTTCTCGAAATGATACTAGTTCACTTCCTCAAGAAGAAACGCATTGGAGTTGTCAAGACTCCTACGCAGATATGTTCTAACTCCTTTTATTTTTGTTGTTACTTTTCAGGCCAAATTTGAATCCCTCTTTAGGTCATATGACAAGGATATCACCTTTCAGTATTTTAAGAGCTTCAAACGAGTCCGAATAAACTTCAGCAACCCCTTATCTGCGGCAGATGCCAGGCTCCAACTGCATAAGACTGAATTTCTCGGAAAGGAAATGAAATTATATTTTGCCCAGGTGAGTTGAATCCATTGATACGCATGCTTCTCCCTCTCCCCCCTTTTAAAAGTAGCTTATAGGGGTGGCTCAGTTGGTTAAGCAACTGCCTTCGCTCAGGTCATGATCCTGGAGTCCCGGGATCGAGTCCCACATCGGGCTCCCTGCTCAGCAGGGAGCCTGCTTCCCCCTCTGCCTCTCTCCCTGTCCCTCTGCCTGTGTTCCCTCTCTCGCTGTGTCTCTGTCAAATAAATAAATCTTTAAAAAAAATCATTATATATATTACTTAGCTATCAGAAAGGATGAATATTACTCATTCATCAGAAAGGATGAATACTTACCATTTTCATCAACATGGTTGGAACTGGAGGGGATTATGCTGAGTGAAATCAGTCAATCAGAGAAAAACAATTATATGGTTTGGGTGTTATACGCAACTGATGAATTAGTGTTCAATAATGCCAAAATTAATGTACTATGTGTTGGCTAATTGAATTTAAATTAAAAAGAAATATCATTATAACAGGCACATAATACTGTGCCATATAGATATTTCAAACATATTTAACCAGTCTTTACTCTCAGACATTTATCTTGTTTTCCAATTTTTCACTATCATAGATGATGCTTCCGGGAACATTCCTGCATCTGCACCCTTTTTTAAAGCATGTTTATTTTGTCATTTGAATGACAAAAGCAACACAAGTTAACTGAAACAATCCAAGTACAACACAAAAGTCCCTAAAGTTAATTAGATAGGTTTCTCCACTCTCTTTCCAAAGCCTTCCCCCTAATGTAACCACCTTTGAAAATCTAGTGTGAATCCTTACACATTCTCCCCTTCACATATACAAAGACACAAACACAGAGTAGGAGTCCATTTTCTTGCACAAAACAATGGAGTCACTCTCGCCTTCTCTTTTACTTAGCAAGGGTATGATGGACAACCTTCCCAGTCAATATGTACCTTATGTGTTGATTTAAAACTCTGAGGCACCTGGGTGGCTCAGTCGTTAAGCGTCTGCCTTCGGCTCAGGTCATGATCCCAGCATCCTGGGATCGAGCCCCACGTGGGGCTCCCTGCTCGGCGGGAGGCCGGCTTCTCCCTCTCCCACTCCCCCTGCTTGTGTTCCTGCTCTCGCTCTCTGTCAAATAAATAAATAAAATCTTAAAAAAAAAAAAAAGAAATTTAAAACTCTTAAGTTTTGAGAAAGGCGAAGTTCATACTCTAAATTTTCCGTGCCTCGCCTTTAAGAAAACATCAGCATATATTTGAAAGCAAGTGATCTCAGAAATGGCCCCTGACCTTGGTTTGAGGAACTCTGGGAGAACCTTTCCTGCTCCTTTAGGAAGGCGGTCCGTAGAGTGCGACGTTGTGGCCATGGCTACTCTGGCACTCGAAGGTTTGTGCAGAGGGTTTCCAGGAATTTGCTTCGGGGTTAGGGCTAATGACGTGCTCCAGGCGGAGAGCAGACCTGAGTGGGTCCCCACTCTCTGCAGTTTCTTAGCAGCACCGAGCTCCATGCGATGGAGCGCCTGCAGACTGCAAATGCAGGCATGCACATGGGCACAGGGGCTGCCAGGCCCGGCTTGAAAGGAAACTGGTAGCAAACACTAAGAAATCCTCCTGGTAGCAGGAGTCCCGGCCCCAGGACACTCACAAAGGGCTGTGCATGGGTTTGCTTTTTCCCTGGCTCACCATCCTTCCAGTTCTCCCCACTCCCCCCCGCTCCAACCTTCAATGATCGGTGACCCATTTTCAAGGCAGCTCACAAAGTTCTATATGATGATGTAACAGGGATCCAACAGGTTAGCAGGGGAAGGAGAAGGAACTTCTTGGATGCTGCTTTCTGGTTCTAGCTGGCCCACACTGGGGCTCTGAGCTCCCCAGAGCGGTATAGGAGCAGACATTAGAGAGGCTTCCTGACCTGGGCAGAAGGGCTCACTGGCCCCTCAAGCATAAATTAGAGCTGGGATGCCCCGCCCCCTCGTGGCCTGTGGGAGGCACGGGTTTTGACCTTGGATCCTTAGTTGTGAGCACACTCCTTTCTGAGTTTGATCACGTTCTGGATCATTACTTAGTCCTTCCACAGCTTTCTTCTCTCTCTCTCTCTCTCTCTCTCTCTTTTTCTAAGCTGATGATTTTATTTATTTACTTTTCTTTTATTTATTTTTTTAAGATTTTATTGATTTCTTTGACAGAGAGAGACACAGCGGGAGAGGGAACACAAGCAGGGGGAGTGGGAGAGGGAGAAGCAGGCTTCCCGGGGAGCCAGGGAGCCTGATGCAGGGCTCGATTCCAGGACCCTGGGATCATGACCTGAGCTGAAGGCGGATGCCTAATGACTGAGCCACCTGGGCGCCCCCCACAGCTTTCTTCTGATTACAAAAGTGAATGTGCACTCATTGTGAAAATTAAAATACAAAGAAAACCCAAACTGGTTAGACATTGACGTAACACCTTTCTGGATGGCCCTGTAGCCACTGATAGGACTTCTAAGCCCACGCTAGCGTCATGGGTTATTGTTTCATATTATTTTTTAAACTTCCTTGAAGGTGGACCCTTTTTCCCTTCATCACTTTTGTCATGTGATTTGGAAGCCCAGAGTGAGGGAATTGCGGGGTACCACTGGGTAGGCAGGAGTCCTGGGCCCCGTCCCTGCTTTGGCCCCTGAGAAACTCTGTCATCTTAGAGCTGTAGCTTGGCCTTTTGGAGCTTCTGCTATGCCTCTATGATATGAGGACCCAGAAGAAATGGTTGCTGAGATCCCTCTAGCCTCAAGCAACAGGGGCTTTATTTTTCCCATTTCTACTAGAACGGTACTAATTTTCCATCAGTCTGGGTCAGTATTAATTACTTGCCGTCCCTGCGCCTGTGGGTCCCCCATAACCCTGTCGCATTCTCCAAACAGACCGCATGGCGAGCTGTCCTTGAACAGCATGCGTTCCGCTGCCCAGACGTGGGCTCGTCCTTTGTCCTCTGTCCTCCGCGAGCTCACTAAGTGCCGTTGGATCGCGTGGCTTCTCTCCTCCAGAAACATCACCTGTGTTTTCTCTCTCTCCTCAGACTTTACACATAGGAAGTTCCCACCTGGCTCCCCCAAATCCAGACAAGCAGTTTCTGATCTCTCCTCCCGCCTCGCCTCCAGTTGGTTGGAAACAAGTGGAAGATGCTACTCCCGTAATAAATTACGATCTGTTATATGCTATCTCCAAGCTGGGGCCAGGTAAGCTGTGCTCTGGGGTGGGAGCAGGGAAAGAGATGGGGAGAAATTGTACTCGGGGGCCAAGACCGAGATGCACACCTGCCTCGGAGTGGCCAGAGCCTTGTGGCCCCTTTCGGCTGTCCTTCAGTGGATGCGAGCGGGTTCTGTGAATTGTTCCTATCTCCGTTCATCTGTGTCTGTAACTCAAGTTGTTGGGAGTGTACACACCTGCCTCTGTCCTTAGCCAGTCATGGGGACCAAGCACCATGACCCCTCACGGCCGGCATCTTGCAAATCCTTCCTGCCACCAAGCACAGCCTGTGTGGGCAGCTCCAGACCCAGGCCCCAGGCCTGTCACCCCAGGATGAGCGATTGGACTTGGAAAGGGAAAACAGACCATCCCACACTTGAGAAACTTCATTTTTAGTCAAGGTGGTTTCGCCCATTGATCCGATTCTCACCTGCCCTTTTGAATGTTGAAGAGAACCACAGAGTATAGTGAAGAAAGAGCCCCTGTCATGCATGCCCCCTCTTGGCCCCATTGGGGTGCTCACACCTTTTCAAAATGCAGAGAAAGACGAGGTTCCGGTCCTCTGATGCGAGGAACGTGTGAGTATGCAGAGAGAGATAACAGATACTATGGCCTCAGTCTTCTTCCCTATACAATGGGTATTACCCAGTGGAGTTAATGAGCAGTAGAGGGGATTGTGTAGAAAGCACCTCAGAAGTGCCTGGCCCACAAGCATTGCCCAGTACAAGATTTCTGGAAACAATAAAATGTTGGTGGTTCCTGTCCTACCTGCTAGGGTTTGAGTGAGGGGCATGAAGTGGTTTGAGCCCACCCTCCTGCTCTATCTATAGAGCAACCATAATAAATGCTGAGACTATCAGCTCCTCATTTCTCCTTGCCCAGCAATCTGATGATGTTCCTTTGGCTGGAGTGTTTTATTTCTTGGACCCTCAGCAGTTTCATGTTGAAAAGATTATATTTCTGAACATACCGCCCCAGTGGAAATTCCCTCTGAGGGAGAGAGCAAGAATCACATTACTTACTGGTAATGGTGGCGTGAAGGTCAGGATGGCCAGTCTGAGGAAGCAGGCGCCCCTCCCCGCAGCTCCTGGCTCAGGTGCATCAGCAGAGCTGAGGAGTGGAGTCTGTGGGGATGCTAGAGAAGAAATGGGACCTCCATCAGGGAGAGGTGACAAACCGCTCTAGAGGCAAGAAGTTCAGCTAAAGACAGGTCATCACACTCCAGAATCTACCACGCCTTTACAGAAGGCTGATCTGAGAAGCCTTTTCAGAAACTAGACATAATAAAATCCATTCACCCTTAGTTTATCTCACAGTGAGCTGGAACAACATTCATATTTGGCTGTGCTTTGCAGCCAACAAGATTGCAAAGATTTTGCAAATACGGTCCTATGCGGAAGCTTGCTGCATTGTGGCCAGTTGGTAGGTAGATAAGGATCCTGACCAGCGTGATCTTGTGACCCTCCACCTTCATTCCCTCCCCGACATTCCACATTGAGAAACAACAACTACCTTTTTTCATGAGGAAAAGTGCCTTCCAGATTCCGAGGAGTCCCCAGAGTAGTGTGAGGCAGGAAGGTCTGGAATCCGGGCTGAGGAAGAGCACACAGAACTTGGAGGAAAACCCACCCCTGTACCCCTGGAGGGGAGGGGAGGAGCGAGCTGACGCAAACCCTCCCCCCACCTGTTTAAATCCTAGCTTTCTACTGCACCCAGCTTCCCACCAGTAATGGTCCATGCTCTATTTGTAAACATTAGTAAAACTAGGTGACACTTACTGGGCCTGCGACCCGGGCACCAGGACCTAAGAGCTTGGCTTGCACTTACGTAATCGGCTCAGTGAAGTCAGGGTCATCATGATCCCATTTTACAGAGGAGAGGAGATGGAGGTTCACAGGGATGCGAAGGAATGCGCCCACGGGCTCCGGGTACTGAATGGTGGGGCTCCTAGCCCACGTTTGGCTACCGCCTCCCTCAGCCCTGAAGAGGCAGCCAGAGCAGCGCCACAGATTGCTTCTCAGTTACTTCTAGAAGACTCATCCATCCCACCCTTGCCGCACCAGAGGGCCTTGAACTGAACTGGACTGAACCTGGTCAGACTCAGGCTGACCTAGAAATGCAGGACACTCCTGGCTCCCGGGGGTGCAAGTTGTCCAAAGCAAAGGGATGCTGTGGTCAAACATGTTTTGAGAGCCCCTGGTTCAAACCAGCCATAATTGAGTCCTCTCGTGGGGCCCCCGGTGTGTGCTGCCTCCACACAAGAGCCTTGAGAGGGAGGCTGGCGATGTCCCTTCCTACCATGTTTTATTCATGCACCGTCTTCTGAGTGCACACTCCTCACACTGTGCTCGGGAGTCATCTGGGAATTTTAGGAGGCCTGGTGAGCATGTTAAGTGTAATTAAAAATGCACTCCTTGGGACACACCTGACTGGCTCAGTCTGGTAGGTGTCTGACTCTGGCCCAGGTCATGATCTCAGGATCATGAGGTTGAGCCCCGCGTTGGGCTCCGCACTGGGTGTAGAGCCTGCTTGGGATTCTCTCTCTCCCTCTGCCCCTCCCCCATATAAATAAATAAGTAAATACGATAAACTCCTTCCATACACCCCGATTCAGTGTTTGAAAGCAGAATAATATATAATGGTGATTATATATGTGTGTGTGTATGTTTTTATATTATTCTTGTGTTTATATATATACTTTTATATATAAATGTTTTTCTGCTAGAGCAAAAAAGAGGTATATCAAAGAATACCCATCCAGAGCGTATCTGGCCGCGTGCCTCTGTCCCTGCTGACCGTCCAGAGAAGCTTGGCCGCGCAGACCCCTCCATGCTTCTTGCCTGAGTGACCCTGCATTTCTCTTCCTTCTCTAGGGGAAAAGTATGAATTGCACGCCGCGACTGACACCACTCCCAGCGTGGTGGTCCACGTGTGTGAGAGCGACCAGGAGAACGAAGACGACGACGAGATGGAACGAATGAAGAGACCCAAACCAAAAATCATCCAGACCCGAAGGCCGGAGTACACGCCCCTGCACTTAAGCTGAACTGGCGCCCCCGGGGGGCAGAAGAATTCCGAATCACACTCGCGGGGAGGCATCTTGTACTGGGGAAGTGGCCGCTCACGACCTGGGAGGTGGCAGCCGTGATGGGCGGGGCAGACATTCCAGCGCGCCTGCTCAGAAGGGAATCCGGGCTCCGCCCCCTAGTTCTGATGCTCCGCCTCCGCCAGCGTTCCTGGCTTCCGGGAATGTCCTGGGCCAATCCCTGAGCTCCGGGTGATCGCACGAGGACATTTGGGCCCAGCTCGATGCAAACTGATCACGATAGTGTTTCCTAATTGTCCTTCTCTGGTAGGTTCTGTGTTTGTCAAGGGCAGCTTCATCCCCGGGTGTGGGGAGAGCCTTCTGTTGCTGACCAGCCTGCGGGGTAGGCTCTCTCTACTGGGAGGAAGAGGCACCGCGAAGCCACAAAGTGGTGCAGAAACGTGAAAACGAGAACAACGCAGATGTGGGATTTGTAGTGTCTCATTCTTTTTCCCCCTCATGTTCTAATGTTTGTGCATGTATATTACTGATTTCCAAACTAACCTTTGTTCGTGTATAGAGTTACGCCATTGTTGTTTTGCATCTTTTGGGAAGACGGGAAAGCATTTGGAACATCTGTCACCTTTGCAGATTCATGACTGTCTTTGCAACAGCACTCGCACGGGGCATCCCGGCTGGAATACGTCCAGCCCGCCTCCTGTCCGATGCCGCATCTACCTTGTGCTTTGGCAAAAGAAGTCGATCTGAAATTCCTATGTCGCGTTTCGCTTTATAAAATTCAGAGAATAGCAGTTTCACTGCCAACTTTTAGTGGGTGAGAAATTATAGTTTGGGTCTTTTGGGTCAGACATTGTTTCCATTTCCTTCTTTTACGTGGTGGTTTATACACATGAATCATAGCCCCCCCCAAAAAAACTTTTGGGGGAGCTGTTGGTTGAGAGAGTTGATTTTTTTTTTTCTTACCCCACTAAAACGTCACGATAAACTTGTAAATAAAGCTGATAGCATATATTCATACCCATTGTACACTTGGGTGAAAAATACGGCGGTGGAAGAATAGTGTCTGAATATTCCCCTACCTGTGACTTGTATGTTGTAGAAAATGCTGTTAAATGTTGGACAGGACTTGAACTCAAAGCATGTGAAGTGGATAGTACATGTGTGGTGGAATGAAAGAGATGCAGTGCCTTCCCCATTAATTCCTGATGGAATCGTTACACTCGGTTAGTCTGTAATTTTTTTTTCTAGTTGTAATGCGTATGTCTGGTAAAGAGGTATTCTATTTTGGCCTTACAATACCATAGCAAAATTGGTCGTTTTGAAATACCTAATGACAAGTAACAGTGCATGCTTTGGAAGTTTGGAAGGTGGTTTCCTTTTAAGAAGCAAATACATTTGATTGTTCATGTCAAGAAATTGAATGTTCTCAAACCCCTGTTTACAGTACTTGGTGAGGTGGGGGGCAGGTGAGGGAGAGACCATTGCATAGCTGTTCAAATGTTCCTGGTTAAGTGCTTTTAAACTGGAGAGGCTAACCTCAAAATATTTTTTTTAACTGCAGTCTATAATAAATCAACACAATATGCTCTTTACGGAAAGGTTAATCTTTGTGCCCTTTTATTTTTGATGGACCGGTCTGTGAACTCTTTGAATCCTGCAGCAGTCTCAAAAGGACACATTGCTTCACCAGTTTCTGTTTAGAAACTCCTGATTCTTTGCTCTGGTTCACGGAGGGATAACCACACTAACCAGACACCACTTAGCAAAGGGGAAAATAGATAAAACTGAAATCGGGGGTCTGAGTATTTGCTTTGTGTAGGGAGATGATACTCTGACGAGAAGCCTACTCACCAACAAAACCAGCAGCTCCACTAAACAGCAATGTTTTTGATTGTTAATTTGAAGAGTCGTCTTTCCTGTTAGAAAAGATGTCCACGAAAGATACTGAATTACAAAGGCCAGTTATGTTCAGAAAAGTCTGTCTCTGAACCTTCTGTTTGAATCTCAAGCAGCCTTTTCCCTGGAGCCCTGATGACACGAGGTGGTGAACTTCCTGCCCCGGCCAGCCCACAAAAGCCAAAACAAGCCAGGGTTTCTTCGCCGAACTCGAGAAAATGACATTAATCTCGATCAAGATTAACATGAGGCATTCCTCCGTGAAAATTCACATGCTCTTCTTTTTTTTCTCCTGTGAAGAGCCTCATCCCATCACGTCCAGGAGAATTTCCATATCTTAAACCCATATACGTTTGAGGTTTAAACATTGTCAGAAAATCCACTTTTCAGTCTGGTGGGCAAATTGGATTATCGGGCAGATTCACTAATTGCCCACCTAGCAAGGGAGGAAGCTGTCCTTTATCATCACGTTGAGTAGCAAGGAGCCCACCGGGTGAGCACGGGTGGATGACACAGCGTGCCGGCCCAGGATCCTTTCTCATCAATAACCCTGGGATAAAATCAGAACGTGGTGTCAGTTCACTCAGAATTCCAGATGGTCCCCTCGTACACCTGGGAAACTATAAGCAGATGCAGATATGGTCCCACTGCCCATGAAGATGACAAAGCCTAGAGTAGAAATCACAAGTCACTGAACATCTGCACTCGTGAGGACAATGGCTGATGAGTTGTTCCGTGGCAGCCTCAGCTGGAATCCCGAAACCGTGCACTTGCTGCTTCCCAGGCTGGTGGATACCAAGGGCCCCAGATCATGAGCATGCTCAGGACTCATGCGTCTGTTGGTCCCGCCCTGCTCATCAAAGGGCTCTTTAAAATGTGAAGCAACAGACACAAAACAGCCAGCACCAAGCAAAACATACCCTTTTGCCATTGATTGAATGCATTCCTTAAATAGATTTTGATAAATACACTTCTGATCTGGTGGGAACCAGCATAGAGTCATCCAAGAAAAGAATCCCGGCCCCCCCTGAAATGGATGCTAAACCCAAGTGAAGGGTGGTAATCGATGGAGAAGTATTAAGATTTCATGCGGCTATTAATACTTGGGTTAGGAAGACTGATTTGCAGTCAGCAAGCATTTAGGATTTTATATTTCCAGAATGCGAATGCAGTGTGAATTAGTGCCCATGGGAGACGTGGGTTTTCAGAGAGCCTCAGTTTTCAGTGAAATGTACAGAATTCACTACAAAGTAAACAGACAGATTTTCTCAAATGTTAAATTGCAACAGATTCAATGTACTGTACAGACATGTTTATGGCCCAAAAATGAATCCGAGCTAGGGTATGTCGTACTCTAAAATGTATGTCATAGGGTTGCAGAACCCTGTGGAATATTTGCCTCAATCTATTAAATGCCTATCATGCAATAGTCATCTAAAGGTCAACAAGTCAGATGGAGACGATACATAATCTAAAAATTATTTAGGAAGAAGTTAGAACATACAGAAGAAATGTATTCTTTCTTCCCTAAATTCTCTGGTCTTCTGATTCTAAAGACACATAGGGATTTTTTTTTTTCAAGGATGCCACCACACTTGGCCATCTTTAATTCACATCTGAAATTCCCATTCTTGTGACTCAGGGGAGTTACATGGCAATCAGGTAGATGGATTGTATCCTCCCATACCTTCTTTTCTTCAGCACTGCCTCTCTGCTGCTCAGGAAAGGTAACATGGCTGTGGTTCTGAAAGGCAGGAGGAAATGATTTGAAAGTGATTGAACTGTGGTGTCTACATTCAACGTTCCTTTGTCTTTCAAGACTCCAGTTAGGGATTCAGTGACCGTTCTCCAAGGCCAATGAGAGGCAACCCATTGCTCTAACCACTGCCACAGCTCTGGCCTAGAGTACCATTGGGGGGAACTCCCTCCTGGCTGACATTCAAGCTCTGGTCACGTGGGATTTCCAGGGTTTCTAACTCACTCACTGTATTGTCTCTTTGCTGTGCACCATCACACCTGCCCTCTGTGCCTAGACCACTATCACAGTGCCCCAGCCTGGCCTGGGCTAACGCCATAATGCTAGGAACCCCGTGAGAGCAGGGCCCATGTCTGTCCTCTGAATCCCTGGCAGCTACCACTGGGCCCAGCCCGCGGCAACCGATAAATACTGCTGACATAATTAACTGACTCACTGATACTTATCCTACAGTTCTGCATCACTGATGTCTCTTTCCCCGAGAATCATTCCCAGCCACTCCTGCTGAGTCTCCCATTGTGTGCCATACTTTCCCTTTAGAATATGCATTGACTTTTTAGCATAACTGTTAAATTGTTTGTCTTCCCTGTTAGAACCTAAGTCAAGTAGAGGCAGGATATCTGGGAACCTGTGCCTCAGAATAGATATTCAACACAAGTTGGATGAGTGGATGGATGGATGGATGGATGGATGACTAGATGGATGGGTGGGTGGATGGATGAGTGGGTAGATGGATAGATGGGTGGATGGATGGATGGGTGGATGGATGGATGGATGGATGGATGGATGGATGGATGGATGGGTGGGTGGGCAGATGGATGGGTGGGTGGATGGATGGATGGGGATTTCAGACGCGGAGGAGTGAGAGGTCATTGAGAAAGAATAGGAAAATAATGAGGCATATTCTCTCCTAGTCAATAGAACCAATAATCAGCTCAGTGCTTTAATCCAACGAATTGCCAGGTTTCTGGAACAACAAGAACAAAAGAGGGAGAAAAGGAGACATAATTTTGTTGGGGTAGGGCAAAAGATGAGAAAAAGAACAATTTTGCTTTTACATTTCTCAGAGTGTTCAGCTAAAGGGTGAGTGGGAAGGGCAGGAAAGAACTTTCCAGATGATGGAAATGCTCTGTGCCTTGACTGAGCAACACGGTAGCGGTGGCAAGCGTGCATTTGCCGAAAACTCATCCAACTGCACACTTACAGTGGGTGCATTTTGTTATATGTAAAGTGCACCTCAATAAAGTTGACTTAATTTTTAAAAAATCAGGATAAAGGAAAAAAAATGTTCAAATCTCGTTCAATGGACAACAGTTGGGGGAAGGCCCCATTCTCCATATCCCTAGCAAAAATCTTTTCCGAGTGATAATGATATAAAAATATTCTTTTTTTTTTTAAGATGTTATTTATTTGACAGAGAGAGAGAGACAGTGAGAGCAGGAACACAAGCAGGGGGAGTGGGAGAGGGAGAAGCAGGCTTCCCGCCAAGCAGGGAGCCCGATGCAGGGCTCAATCCCAGGACCCTGGGACCATGACCTGAGCCGAAGGCAGACGATTAACGACTGAGCCACCCAAGTGCCCCTGATTTAATAACATTCTTAAAACAATATTATACAGCAAGGCAAAACAGCATCCCAAATTAGAGTGTGAACATTCTAATTCTAGAAGAACTCAGTGTGTCCATGGCAATTTGTTAATTTGAGAAATAAACTTGGGTCCTACTTACTTCCTTAAAGTTTAATGTATAGGATTAATGTTTTTATATGTTCAGAACCAACACATTGCTAAATCAGGAATAAAACACACCCACATCTAATCAGTGGTAAATGGCATTGACTTTAGTGTGTCTTTAATGTCAACCCATACTCTCATGAGACCTTGGGCAGCAGCGACATATCAGACTAGGAAATGCATTTTCAGTGATGCATTTGGAACTTGGAAAAAGAAAGAAAAACTCCACTTTTCTGCAAGGTCAGTTTCATTTTTGAAGCTTCTAAAACACTTTTCTTGCAAATTATGCAAAATGTGCATCATTCTTTTTCTCCTAGAAATAAAAAAATTTAAGCACCACGAATGTTGGAGAAATAATTTTTAAAAGCCACATAAGATCATCAATAACCATTACAAATAATGGCTTGTATCACATACACATATTTATGCCTTCTGAATTCTAGTATTTTTCCTGTGGTTTTATTACAGGCTCAGTTGCCAAATATCCTCTTTTAATTGAGTTAAATTCACAATTTTTATACAGTAAAAATAGTTCCAGTTTTTGTTCTTTTTAACAAGTCTTTTGTGAAAGAGCAAAAAATTCACTTTGTGGTGGTACTAGTAAGTGAGCATGGATAATTTTCTTAAAACACACTCATATCATAGGGCACCTGGGTGGCTCAGTCGGTTAAGTCTCCGTCTCTTGATTTCAGCTCAGTTCATGATCTCAGGGTTGTGAGATTGAGCCCTAAATTGGGCTCCATGCTCGGCAGGGAGTCTGCTTGGGATATTCTTTCTGCCCCTCCACCCTGCCCCTCTTGCACACACGCTCTTGCTCTCCCTCTCTCAAATAAATAAATAACTTTAAAAACAAACAAAAAACTACACTCAGACCAAATAATCCACAATGGAGGACATCACGTAGATTAAATTGTATATGGCACAATTACCTTGTTTTTATAAACATATTGCACATCCTCAAATGCATCAATGGGATATGCTACCAAGGAAGCAGATGTGATCTGGGAAAACGTGCTCATAACCTTCACCCCCAACCTGGGTTTGCTGCAGGCTCCTTTGCTGGCATTGGGAACTAAGGAAGCTGATTTTCTAGGAAGCTCAAGGGGCCATTTACCTTCGGGAAAATAGGAGATCACCTGGGAGGAGTCAAAGTGGACTGAGCTGCCTGCCCATCTCCGAAGGTGGGTTCCTGAGCCAGACTTCACTTTATCCTGT